TTTTAAAATGTGTCTGCTAGGAAGAGGTTTCCACACGCTTATAAAGAATGTTTCATTCCCTATCTCCAACCGATGTGGGATCTTAGAATCCACGAGGACACTTGTTCCTCTCTCTAATCGACCAAGATCTTATATTTTTCTTTCCTTCTTCCTAGCCTTTTGGCCACTTAACTCTTACTGACCTAATTATAGTAATGTGCTAACCTATATTTATTCCTCCCCTTCACATGGAATGCTGTTCCCCAATCTCCTTTTCGAAATGTCAAGCCAAAAACTTTCCACCCCATTAATAGCTAACACAGGCCATTATGTACCTATTATGTAAGAAAATATAGAGAGAAAAGTGAAAATTTTTGAATGATGAGTAAAAATTGGTTCTTTAGTCTAATGTGAAAGGGAAAAGTGTAATAAGAAAAAGAAAAACTATTGTATTTCCAAAGGTCATTAAATTACTTTCCCAACGCAGCGAAACAAAAATCAATGAACGATTTGGAGTTTTGATAAGACCGTACCCTATAGACATTATGAAACCCAAAAAAGAAATCATAAAATCCTCCATTGAAGTGACCAAGATTGGCATAAAAATCAAGCGGAATATATTTGACAAAGAGGAAGAAGAAGAAGAAGAAGAAGAAAGGAATAAAGAGTAGAGTGTTTTGTGACAGAGCTTCCCTAAGATTTCATGGCATATAAAGCGAGTTGCCGCATTTGCACCGCCAAGCTTCTGGGTAATATTCTAATGGTAAACTCAGTCCTGGGTGAATTGGCACGTGCACCGCCGTGCAGGGCGTGCAACTGCCGCACTTCGATCTACAAGTAGGAGGTGATGACCCTGGCCCGCTGAGTCTCCGCCGTGTCACAACTCGCTCCTCTCCTCCGGTCAGCAACTGTGTTTCCTCTGTTGTTCGAAGAAAACCAGAAACAAACCCAAAACATGGGTTAATTAGAGGAATTGAGAGATGGGGTTGAGAAGAAAGAATTGGAAATGAATTCTCTTTTTTTAAAAAACTTACTGATGGGGGTGGGGCGAGCGGCAATGGCGGAGGCGAGGAGGAGGAGGAGGAGGAGGAGAACGACGGCAAAGAGAAAAAGGGTAGGAAGACGGCGGCGACGGTGGTGGTTATGGTGGTGATGGAGGAGGACTACGGCCATCGCCGGCCAGAAATGGGGGAGGAAGTGAAGTGGAGTAAGGTCATAAAATCGAAACGAAAAACGAGAAAAAACAGAGAGCTGTCATATCTCAATCCATGTACAAATTTCTCTCTTTTCTTTGTGTTTTGTGGTCAAAGGAGGAAAAAACATAAAGATTTTTAAAGAGTAGGGGTTTGTTTGGAATTTAAATTTTGTATGGAAAGTCTAAGTCAGTGGGATTTTTTTATTCTTGTTTAATTAATTAATTCTTTTAAAATAAAAATAAAGAGGTTTGGATCTCCATGAAATTCTTATTTACTGGTATGGAAGGCAATCCAGCGGACCCATCAATCCCAAGAAATAATTTGAAGGAATCGGGGGGGTGAAAGTATAAATAAAGCAAATACGAGGGGTATGGTATGAAAAAGGAATTCAGGGGAGTGCCATGACGGTAATATTTGGAAAAGTAGGAGGGCATTTTCGGGATAGCTGGAGGAAAATATGCAGAAGACTGTGGAGGAATAGGGAAGGAGAGAAGGGGGGTGAGACAAACATCTGAATCCAAATGACCCCACTCTCCTCATCCTCCACACCATTATTGAATCATTCATCGAATCTCTCACACATTATTATTTGAAACTAACTGACAATTTTATATTAAGAAACTTATTAGTCAAATAAATCTTTTTTTTTTTTTTTTAATTTGTAAGATCAAATGGTTAATGAAAAACGTATAGAATTTGAATCCCCGATTATTGAGAATAAGATGATTAAGAAGACTTAAAAGAATTTAAAGTTATTAACTATACCAATAGGATGTATCTTCTTTTTCAGTAATCATAGAAACTCTATGGTTAAACGTGGTTTGCTTGGAGCAATTCTATGTTTTGATGACCTCCTTCAAATTTTTCTAGGATACATGTGAGTGATAACAAAACATGCTGGAATGACGTGCGTTGGTTTTTAGGGATAGTTTTCACTCTTAGAAACGAGGATGTCGCAGGGGAGGTAGAGAAATGTCAAGATTATTAAGTGTTGAATCTAGATTCCAATCCAAATTTCGATCTGAACTCTTTGAGTGGTTGATTGTTGATTTGGTTGTAATAACGAAGATAAATTATGGTAAGAATTTTATGGACCAATTTTACCATTTAGCCTTAAGGCGATTTGGTGAGTGTGGCCTATAATCCAACCAATAGGAATTGCCCTAATATGCAAACTTCCAAAGTTAGGTTCAGTGAGAGGTAAAGATGTAGTATTTACTATTTACAAGCTTTTGACACTATTTTTTACCTAATTTTTTCAGAGCAACATTTTAATAATAATATATTGAGGTAAAAGTTTTATTCGGATCGAAACATCCGAGAAAATATTCATAATTAGAATATTCACTCGAAAATTATAAATATAACATATTAATAAAAATATTTATTATTATTATTATTTTAAAAATAATATTACTTTTGTTTTGTTTTGAGATAATGGTTCGGGACTACTCTTTTATATTGTGGGGTTTCAATAGAATATTTAAAATATGAGTATAAATATTAAATATTTATAATTTAAATATATGGATAGAATGTAACTAACATATTTATGAACTAATAAAATTTAAAAATAAAAAAAATTGGTTAAAAAACTTATTTTGAGTGTTTTTTTTAGTATAACCAAATAAAATTAAAATTGTATACAAATATTAAGTATTAAAATTCAATATCTTTTAAAAATAAAAGTTTCAACTATGAATTTTCTATCTAATTTTTTTCCTTTTATTTTTACCTTTTATCAGCTAGCATTAAATTTATATTACAATAATTTAAAATCAACCTATATTTTTATTTAATTATGTTTTAAATCTCAATATTGTTTAAAATTTAATTAGATAATAAAATATTTCATGTTTGGTTCCTAACTCCTTCCCACATAATAAAATAATATATACGAAATTATTATATAGGTTTGCTTTTTTATAAAATTTATTGGATTAATATAATTAATTAACTAACGACAAATTAGAGCAATTAATGAGTAGTTTCTCTCATTTCTCCGGCAAATAATAAAATAAATATAAATTAATTAAAAATATCAATAAATTTTTATATTAAATAGATGAGATAATAATTATAAATATATTAGTTGTAATTTTATTGAGTCAAAATAAGAAAATGGATAAGGTTAATTCTAAAATTAAAAGTCGTAAAAATTAGCTCCACCATTAAATGTATTTACTCGACCTATAACATGAACAGGTGTAATAATGTGAAGTGCATGATCAAATATTAAGTTGATTTCAAATAATACCAGTTATTTTATCTCACATATATGATATAGTATTATAAAAAACAAAATATTGTTCGAGTTCACCGACAAATATTGGTCATATTTGATGTTCCTTAGGTTCTTTAAAAATTTAACTTTAAATACTAATCTGTATGTTTTTATTTCAGTGTTTACCGTAGGCACGATAACTGGTACAAGGATTTACTAGAGTAGAAGGATGCCTCCTATATTCGAGTAAGCTTAAGAGTCGTGCGAGATGAAAGTCTCATGTACGGTTCTTGTTCGTTGGAAAACTCTAAATCATTCTTCTGAAGCTCCATCCTCTTTGATTCGCCTTTCTCGAAATGACTTAACTTTTATTTTTATATTTTAAATTTATTTATCTACCTTTACAAATATATTTAAAATACTAAAAACAAACTTTTATCTTTAAAATTTGATGAACAATTTAAATTGATACAGACAAATAATGAAAAAACAAACCCAATAAAAAAATTAAATGATTATCGAACCAATCTTTAATATAAAAAAATTAACGTAAGAATCTCTCAATAATACCACGTAATAAGTTAATTGTGAAATTTTTAAATTTTAAGTTTCATAAAAAAAAAAAAAAAAAAAAAAA